ATACCTATATATGTAATGTGAAAGAACGAAATTGGAAAATGTGAAGATTCGTATGGTTAATTATCAAAACGTATTAAATATACTTCGATGAAATATCGAATATTTTAATTGATTATTATTAATTAATTAATATTTCTGACATATATATACACCAAATGACCATCTGATTTTTGACATTATCCAATTTCAATATTTAACAGTAATATATATAGATAATCTTAGAATTCGTAATTATATAAATACTCTATGGTAGAATCAAAACCTTTCTCGTTAGGTGAACACGTAACTCGAGTCTGTTGAAAATGAAAATGTTCAAGTTTAGATACTTTTTTTTCTCTTATGTATTGTTTTTTTACTTTGTTCTTTTTTATACAGCTTGCACGTGTACAAGTGCATAACACGGTTCCATTGATGATAGAAAGAATAATAACATACCGTGTTAAAATAATTCATTCGAAAGTTTGACGTGTTATTCGTCGTTATTATATTTTATTCTATTATATTATAAAATAATAATAATAATATTAGAGGCAAAAATTCGAAACAATAAATAATACAAAAATATATCTCATACTTTATTCCGCGAACTTTTTTCAAATACAATAATTAATATATACGAAAGAATTGTTTTTCATTTTTCGCGTAATTTACCAAATGATTTTTGTTTCAAATGTAATTAATTGAGTATAATACGTGATTGGATACGGCTTTTTTTTTTTTTTTTTAATTGTACAAAGATCGAATACGTTGACGTACAATATTTGTTCATGAATCTTTCGGCTTTGAAACGTACTCGGTGAATTAATCCATTATCACACACAGGGGTGGGATGAGGGGTTGAAGAGAGAGGGGGGCAGGGGAGGGGAGGGGAATTGATTGCTCTAGGCAAATAAATTAATCGCTGGATTTAACTAGAGATGGTGGAATGGGAGCACAAAAAAAATAAAATAAAATAAAAGAATAAAATAAAAGGAGGTTGTGGGAGTAGACGGGGGGAAGGAGGTGAAGGGGGAGAGGGGTGGTTTAGATAGGGAAAAATGTAGACGAATAAAATTCTTACTTCACCCTATACTTGATTTGTTTTGTTCTTTATTGTTGGAAACATAAAGACGGGAAAACAGTCGAGAGAATAAAATTATAAAAGTCCGATTATGATGGCGTGAGAGTTTGAATTAAGTTGGAGGAATAAAAAGAAAAGGGGGATAGGGGGGAGTGGACGAATAATAAATTTCGTAGAAAGAAAAAACAAAGAAAAAAAGGAGAGATGGTGGGCCAAGCGTGGGGGACTTGTTTTTTTTTTTATTATGACTATCAAGAAAGTATTATTTAATGGTGAAAAGTGTCAGGGTTTCGTGTTTCCAGCCACTTTTCCGGTTAATCATTCGTAGATTGTAAAGAAACGTAATACAAAAGTCATGGGGATTACGTGCAGCATGGGAATCGTGATATTAAACGACGATCGATTAAAAACAAAACGTGTTCTAATGTTTTTATGATGTTTTCAATGAGAAATTTTATATTATATCGAAATGTTTATATGAATTAAAGAAAATCATTGCAATAATGCAATTATATTCGGGAACAATTGAATCGTTTAAAAGCCTACAATGCGAATTAAGTTTATTTGATATTTTTTGATTATTTTGCGTTGTTGGATACTTATTTTAATTATTATTATGGGGTATTCGTTAGAGTTCGTTCAATTTTTTAAGATCATTTCGAAATGTTTATATGAATTAAAGAAAATCATTGCAATAATGCAATTATATTTGGGAACAATTGAATCGTTTAAAAGCCTACAATGCGAATTAAGTTTATTTGATATTTTTTGGATTATTTTGCGTTGTTGGATACTTATTTTAATTATTATTATGGGGTATTCGTTAGAGTTCATTGAATTATTTAAGATCATTTTTTCTTTTTACTGTAGAACTCCAGTATCGATCATTGTCATTTCTTTTTTTTTTTTCAAAGATTGATTTCAAAGGAATGAAGAAAAAAGTGTGTTTGGTATCAGAGTGTAATTATTTTGATAAATAAATAAATGTATCTCAGATCTCGAATAATCAAGAGTGACCACTACTTCAATGGGGGTGTTAGAACCGCAAGCTGGCAAGTATAATCCAGGATTGTGAATGATATGATGGGGAATGGGATCGAGAAGTATACCTATGGGAATCTCAAAAGGGATCATTTGCAATTGGTCTCGTGAGAGATGGTTGAGTGGTTAAAGAGTTAAAATGAATGAAAAAGAGAAAAAAGGAAGAAGAGGAAAGAGATTAAATAAATAATGAAATATGAGAAAGGATTTGTGTGTGTGTGTGTGAGAGAAAGAGCTTTTAGCAATTCTGATTTGACGTTTTGCATGTACTCTTCGCGTTTATAAGTTTCAATGATTCTTATTTCATTTGAAAAGTCTTTGACGTTTCTCCTAGCCATAGAGTAGGCACTTAAACTTCAATAATTGAATTTTCATGGTATGATTTAATAATCGGTTATATCTCTCATTATATTAAACTGTATAATTCGAGATAAGAATTTATTGCAATTTTCTTTTGCTTAAATAACATTA